CCATCACTGGAGGGTTTTGAGGGGAGATTGGGCAGCCATTTGTTCTGGACGGAATAGGGTCTCCTGCCTGAACAGGGGATGGACTAGAAGACCTCCAAGGTCCCCCCAACTCAATTAGTCTCTTATGGACCTGATGTTTTCTGGGCAACAAGATTGGATTTATGTGTCTCTAGTCGTTTCTGTTTTGCTTCCATTTCTAGCTAACAAGCACCGTGTTTTCCTATTAGTGCCCCCATCCGTGTATACACCAGGTTCAACTGTGCTTAACCCAGCACTTTTTTAACAATAGCTATTGAATGTTTTGATTGTTCAGTGTATTTATTTATAAAATTTATTGTTTTCATGTGTGTGTGTGTGTGTGTGTGTATATATATATATATATATATATATATATATATATATATATATATATATATATATATATATATATATATATATATATATATACACACACACACACACACACACACACACACACACACACACGAAAACCTAAATAAATTGTAGGATGAAAAATCCGGTCCGGTTCCAAGCCAGGAGAAAAGAGCTGGAAATAAAATGGTGGCTGATTGGAAAGGATTCTGTTTACTTTTTTTTATTAAAAAGTTTTTTATTTTATAAACAAACAAACACACAATATATAATCAATCAGTCAATATATCATCTGAATACATCTTTTTTCCATCTTACTCCTCCAATAATTATCATATCTTAATATTATCATTTCATTTATTATTACATTTCCCCTACATTTACTTTTCTATTAAAACATTTATCTATTCAACACTTTTATCCCAACCCAACCTTTGTCCCTCCCTCCCCACCTCCCCCCCCCACTTCCCAGAGTGAAAACAGGGTATAACATTTAACAAGCATAAGCTAAAATATACTAACTACAAAATTCAAAACCCACACACTCTTTAACTCCCCTTACTCAAATTCATCAACCTCCCTTTTATAAATTCTCAAAATTAATTGAATTAAATTCATTCTTCCTAAATATAAAGACCTTTTTCTTGATGTGTAATCCAATAATTTAACAATATTACAAACATTAAAAATCATGGATAGGTTTCATTTCCACACCCTCAAACACCATTCTTTTTCAGCATTACTCCCTAATAAGATTCTAAATTTAACTTTTATCCTCTTTAATCCTTCATAAAATTGAACATTTTAAAACCTTGAACATTTCCTCTCGTATACCTTTTAAGATACTATAATCTTATGTTAAACATTTTAAAAATCTCTTAATACATCAATAAAACATTCTTAATTCATTTCACAAAATATAAATTTCAAAACCTGCAGAAAGATATCCTTCAAGTTTTCAATTAACCATTTTAATACCTCCATAACTTTTAAGAAGCAATTGTTTTTATATCCAAAACTAATTGTAAGAAAACACTTCCTTTATATCATTGTCTTAGAATAACCTTTAAAAATACCAATTTAATTAAGATTTTCAATTTATTACTAAAATCCTCCCCCCCAAAAGAATTAATCTTCTATTGTTCCCTTCTTTCTATATTTTTTCCAGTCCTTCTTCAATAATTCTTTCAACATTGCTCCTCCCCCTAATTTTATTTTCGAAAATTTTTGAATTTTGATTTGAGGTTGATGTATCTTGAAAGCTCGCTCTCTTCTTGAAATCATTTTTTCTGGTTTAAAACCCCCATTTCGACTCTTCTTGCTTGTATAATCAATCAGTTCATTCCTTTGTCTATAAAGCCAAGAATTGTTACCATAAAGTTTATCAGCTTGCAATAAAGAGTCTACTTGTTGCTTTTCTATTAATTGAGTGGGAGCATCTGCCAAGACCTGTGTTTCAACTGTGCCCACCTCCATTTCAATCCTGACAGCCTCTTTGTCCCCCAGAATCAAAATCCTCTGATTAATTTCCTCCTGTTTCCCAGCCAACAAATCATTATGGCTTAGGGCCGGGGTATCTGCGAGACCACCTTCTGCCGCCAATAGCCTCCCACCAACTGGTTTGCTCGCACAGAGAGGGCCTCCTCAGGGTGCCATCGGCCAGACAGTGCCGGCTGGTGACCCCCAGGGGGAGAGCCTTCTCTGTGGCAGCACCTGCCCTCTGGAATGACCTACCCCCTGAGATACGCACGATATCAGACCTCCGGACTTTTCGTCGGGCCCTGAAAACACACTTATTCCATCTAGCCGGGCTGGCTTGATCCCATCCTCTCAGTTTTAATTGAATTCAGTTTTAATTGGGTTATTTTAAATTTTGGGCCAAAATTATTTAATTGTTTTTTAAACTGTTTTTAAATTTTATATGCTATGTTTTATCTCGGCTGTACACCGCCCTGAGTCCCGCAGGAGAAGGGCGGTATAGAAATAAAATAAAATAAAAATAAAATAAAAAATAATTATAATTCTCCAAGCTATATTTTTGAAAATTTCTTTCAATTGATTCCAAAAGAGCAGAGTTAAAAGAGTCTAAAAGTTCTTGAAAAACCTTTACAGTCACAACTTGAGAATTTGCTGATTCACCAAACAGTGATCCTCCAGCCCTGATGTCAGCCATGTTTCAGTCTTCACTTTATATTTATCCAGCTATCAGGTCGACAAATCCAACTATTTTCCACACAGTGTAAAGATGTAAATTAATTGAGGTCAATACCAAATTTTTTTCCATGCCGCTTCCACTTTAAATCTTTTTCTTAGGGTGTAATCCAGTAGCTGTATCAATGTTACAGACGTTAACAAGCGTTAATAAGCACTTTCACTAATAGCTTTTGCTTTTACGCCCTCAGGCGCCATTTTCTGTATTTTTAAACGGAGTTAAAATGTTACTTGTGTTGTTGGTTTTTTTTTTTTTTTTGTTCTTCTGCCAGCACCCAAAGTCCAAATCCTTTATGATCCTTAAAATTGTGTTGCTGGTGTGGACGCGATGCCTCCGTCTGCATGAAGCAGACTCGTCCCGGATTCAGAGCAATGAAGGGCTTACAGGGAGCTCACCCTGCAACCCCCAGGCTTAAAAAGACAAACCTGGGGGTCTGGGGGAGCTCTACCCAGACCCTTCGGCTCTTCTCTCCCCCTTTTTCCCAGGGGGAGATTTTCAAGCCGCTGAACAGCCGGTTTTCGCTGTTCTAGCGGCTAACGAAATCACAGGGCTGGAGCTCCTGAAGGCGCGTCCGTTTGGTGATCGTGGAGCCACCGGAAGCCGAAAGGATTCTGTTTACTGATGAGCAGAACCAACAGCATCATGTTGTTCTGGGACAGCTGACAAAAAGGGGTTGGGATAGGTGGACTTTTATACATTCTTTGGGGTTTTGTGTTTGAAATGCTCCAGGGGATTGTGCAATATAGTCTTTTGCTATTCTGATGGTCCTGGGTTAATCCTGTTATGTCCTAAAAGTCCTGTCCTGTCCTTCTTAATCCCATCAACTGGATCTGAAGGTGTTTTGTTTGTGAATAAATTGGCCCAGTCTTTCTTAATGGGAACCAAATATCCATGTCTAAAGACTGTTAGGGCTTCTTTCTGCCTTTGTTAAGATTTTTTTTCTCCATTTTTCCTTTGGGGAAATATAATCTGCCTCTTTTAACATTCCCCAAAATATTTAATTCTTCCTGGGGAGGAGGGCGGCTTCTCACAAAATTAATACTGAAGATCAAGCACATATGAGGAAGGAGGGATGGAATGGGGATGAGGGGGGATCTACAACCTGATCAAGGACAAGCATAGGTAGTCCTCACTTACCATTGGTTCACTGAGCCTTCCAAGTTACAATGGCACTGTAGAAGCAGACGTAGTTATGAAGGTTCAGGAAAAGGAGTTGCACCAATTCGGATTCTGGCAATTGGTGTACTTTTATGTCATGGTTTCAGAATCCCACTCTCATCATCCCGATATGTGACCTTCTCAGCTGGCTTCTGACAAGCAAACTCAGTGGGGATACCAGCAGGAAGTTGCAAGCCATGGTCATGTGAAATTACCTTTTAACAACCCACAGTGATTTGTTTAAGAACTGCAGAGGAAGAGATGTATGTTGGCACCATCATTTGAAATCATGATTGATGATCGGGCCACTTAGTGACACAGATGCTAGTCCCAATTGCAGTCAGTAAGTGAGGACTACTTCAGGATGTCACCAAAGGGGTTGTGGAAAGTATTTTCTGCCCTTACTTGGAGTTCATGGCTTCCACGGGCATAACTGGTGATTCAAATCTTGCAGAGGCTTTAGGCATCATTTCATCAGTTAAAACCCACATCTGTAAAGCTAGTGCCATGCAGATTAACATGTGTGGCTCGATAAAATAAAAGAGAGTCCAAGTGTGTGTGTTGATAAGCCAATGCATTTATTGTGTGAATAAAGATGGGTCCCTCATAAGAAGAAAGGAACCCAGAACTTAGCGCAAGGCAGATATTTATAATTTTTTTGCTTTCACTTCATTACATACAGTAAGAGGCAGCTGGCACACAACAGGTAAAATATAGAAATTATAAAAATTATAAAAAAAGTTTCCATGGCCTCAGAAGCCTGTTGAGGTCTGAACTTCAGCCCTGCCATCTCCACATGTGAGCAATCATCCAATTTATCCAATTCCTGATTAACAATAGCTCAGAAGGTTTGAAATGTTTTTCAGACTTGAAAGACATGGATTATCTTCATATTGTAGGTGTGTGTATTTTTATTTCCCTCTGAATGTATATATCTGCAAATGTATAATCTCTCCCCAAAACTTCCAGATAAACAGTCATGTGAAAAAGAAAGTACCTTCTCCTTGACTTCTATTTTATATATCGGGACATAGTAAAAATCAATTGGTCCTTAGAAATTCTTAAAAGTTGGTAAATACAACCACAGATGAACAACACATGACATATTACATCAGGTCATCATTTATTTTATAAAAAGAAAGCCAAAACGGAGAAGTCATGTGTAAAAAATTGTATGATTCAATCATTTGTAGAACCACGTTTAGCAGCAACAACTAGAAGTAATTCTTTCCTGTATGACTTTATCAATCTCTTGCAGTGATGTGGAGGAATTTTGACTCACTCTTCTTTACAAAATTGCTTCAGTTCGTTGAGGTTTGTGGGTGTTTATTTATGCATGACTCTCTTGGGGTCCAGCCTATCGGGTTGAGGTCTGGACTTTGACTGCCATGGGAACACCTTGATTCTTTTCTTTTCCAGCCTTTCTGTTGTAGATTAGCTGATGTGTTTTGTGACCATTGTCCTGTTGCTTAATCCTATGTCTATTGGACAGATGGCCTCACTTTTGACTCTAGAACAAGGGTGGGCCACTGTGGCCCTTTTACAACCTGTGGACCAACTCCCAGAATTCCTGAGACAGCCAAGCTAGCTCAGGAATTCTGGGAGTTACAGGTTGTAAAAGGGCCACAGTTGCACACCCCTGCCCTAGAATACTTTGGTATATAGAGGAGTTCATGGTCGACTCAAAGACTGGAATGTGTCCAAGTCCTGTAGCTGCAAAACAAGCCCAAATCATCACCCCTCCACCACCGTGCATGACGGTTTGTATGAAATGCTTGTGCTGATATGCTGTGTTTGGTTTTTGTCAAACATGTCACTGCATTACGGCCAACCAACTCCCCTTTGGTCTGGTCTGTGCAAAGGACAGTGTTCCAGAATTCATGTGATTTGTTCATATGCAACATTGCAAACCTCAGCCATACTGCTATGACCTTTTTAGAGAGAAGAGGGTTTCTCCTCACAACCCTTCCAAACAAACCATACTTGTTCAGTCTTTTTCTAATTGCACTGTTATGCTAATTGCACATTTAACATGCTAACTGAACCCTGTAGAGTCTGAGATATAACTCTTTGTTTTTTTAGCAATTTCCCTGGCCAATGCATGGTCTGGCCTTGGGGTGAATTTTCTTGGATATCTATCCCTGGGAAGATTGGCAACTGTCTGGAATGTTTTCCACTTGTGAATAATCTTACTCACTGTAGATTTTAAATTGTTTGGAAATGGCCGTTTAAACCTTTGCAAATTGATAGGCAGCAACAATTGCTTCTCTAAGATCATTGCTGATGTCTTTACTCTTTGGCATTGTGTTAACACACACCTCAATGCCGGAGACCAGGAAACTACTACAACTTCGGTTTTTATAGATGTAGTCATACTTGCTGATGATCAATTGATCAAGGGCACTTTATTAACAGTACTTGGTTGCTACTTCACCTCTTTATACAATCGAAGCAGTGATAAATTTCCTAATGGAGAGAACAATTAACCAGCAGAACAGCTTGCCTTCAGACACTGTGGTGCTCCATCACTGGAAGCTTTTAAGAAGAGTCATAAGAGCCACTTTTCCAAAATGGTATAGAATCTCCTGCTTGAGCAGAGGCTGGATTAGAAGACCTTCAAGGTCCCTTCCAATTCTGTTATTCTCTTCTCTTCTTTTGCGATGATATTATGATACCCTGATAAGTAAAACCATAGAAATGAAAGAGAATGTACTTTCTTTTTCACTTGACTGTATTTAAAACACCCCATGCACTACTAAGAATTTGTGATTGACCCAGTCAAGAATTGAATTTTATCATTGAATGGATATTCGAACTTGGATCTGGGTATTCTTCCATGTGTCAAATAAATCATGATTAATGTAAGAGTTTATTGGAGGATTGGAGCATGCTTGCTTTTTCATTGTAATGTAAATGTTTTTCTTTTTTTCTCATCTTCTGCAACCATTTCATCCACGATTAAAGATACAATTTTATTTGAATCTTATAGACAAAGAGGATGGCAATAAGAGCACTCTGGACAACTGAGGATAACAAGCAACATTGAATAGCAAAGCAAATCAGTCCAGAAATCACAGTATTTTCCATTTCCTTCTCAAAGCCTACAATTCTTCACCTTCCTCAGCAAGTGATAGAGAAATGAGAGAAAATCAAGATTTCTAGCTGGGAAAAGTAGAGTGTGAAATTCAAGCATAGGTTACATGAAAAGTCAAGAGAGATTATTGTTCCGTTGAGCAAAAGAGGGAAATATCGGGAAGTTACTGGGGAGGAAAAGGTCAATTGGAAAGCCACGTAGAGCAGACAGTGTTGCAGGCCTCACTCTGGGAGCAAGAAAACGGCTTGAATCAAAGGACTGCTAAACAAAGAATCATTCATATTTTGGACCTCCTCGGGAATATTAGTTGTGGAAAAGCCCCATAGATGTGCCTTTTGTGGGAAAGATACGACTTGCAAATAACAGCTAATTATGCCTGAGAGGATCCAGACTGGAGAAAAGCCATATAATACTCTAAATGTGGCAAAACCACTGATCAGAACACCTCCATTGTGGTTCTTGGAAGGACCCACACAGGAGAGAAGCTCTACAAGTGCTCCCAGTGCAGTAAATGCTTAAGCAAGCATGGCAATGTGGACTCACACCAAGGAGAAACCGTTTCAATGTCCTGATTGTGAGAAATGTTTCAATAGAAATTCCAACCTCATTAGACACCAGAGGACTCACACAGGAGAGAAACCCTTGGAATGTCCTGACTGTGGTAAAAGTTTCTCTCAGAATTCCCAGCTCATGGCACACCAGAGAACTCACACAGGTGAGAAACCCTTTGAATGTCCTGATTGTGAGAAAAGTTTCTCCCACAATTCCAAGCTCATAAGACACCAGAGAACTCACACAGGTGAGAAACCCTTTGAATGTCCTGACTGTGGTAAAAGTTTCAGTCAGAATTCCAGCCTGATTCAACACCAGATGATTCACACAGGCGAGAAACTCTATAAATGTCTTGAATGTGGGAATAGTTTCAGTCGGAATTCTGATCTCGTTACACACCAGAGGACTCACACAGGAGAGAAACCATTTGAATGTCCTGATTGTGGGAAAAGTTTCAGTCGTAATTCCAGCCTGATAATACACCAGAGGACTCACACTGGTGAGAAACCCTTTGAGTGTCCTGATTGTGAGAAAAGTTTCAGTACCAATTCCAGCTTGGTGAAACACAAGAGGACTCACACAGGAGAGAAACCGTTTCAATGTCCTGTTTGTGGGAAAAGTTTCAGTGAGAATTCCAGCCTGGTGATACACCAGAGAACTCACACAGGTGAGACACCATTTGAATGTCCTGATTGTGAGAAAAGTTTCAATAACAATTCCAGCCTGCTGAAACACCAGACGACTCACACAGGAGAGAAACCCTTTGAATGTCTTCACTGTGGGAAAAGTTTCAGTCGTAATTCCACCCTTGTTCAACACCAGAGGACTCACACAGCAGAGAAACCCTTTGAATGTCTTGATTGTGGGAAAAGTTTTACTCAAAATTACTACCTGGTAATACACCAGAGGATTCATACAGGAGAGAAACCCTTTCAATGTCCTAATTGTGGGAAAAGTTTCAGTAAGAGTTCGCACCTCATTAGCCACAAGAGGATTCACACAGGAGAGAAACCCTTTAAATGTTCTGACTGTGGGAAATGTTTCAGTCAAAATTCCAACCTTATAAGCCACCAGAGGATTAACAAAGCAGGGGAACCCTTTAAATGTCCTGATTGTGGTAAAAGTTTCAGTCACAATTCTAGCCTGGTGAACCACCAGAGGACTCACACAGGAGAGAAACCCTTTGAATGTCCTGATTGTGGGAGAAGTTTCAGTCAGAATTCCAGCCTGGTGACACACCAGAGGATTCACACAGGAGAGAAACCCTTTGCGTGTCCTGATTGTGGGAAAAGTTTCAGTCAGATTTCCAGTCTGGTTAAACACCAGAGGACTCACACAGGAGAGAAACTGTATGAGTGTCCAGATTGTGGGAAAGATCTCAGTACTAGGTTTAACCTTCTAAATCATATGCTTATACACATAGGGGAGAAACCATTTAAGTGTCCCAAGTGTGGACGGTCCTTCAGGCAACATTCCAGCCTTATTGCACACAAGAAAATTCACCTGAAGCCTCAAGTGATGAGTGTAGAGAAGGCTTGAATTTCATTTCTAACGGCCCATTGTAAGTCCAGCTGAGAAACTGACTATTTAATTTTACTACAAATTCTTTTTGTAATGGTATTTGCCTGATTTTTTTGTAGGCATATATGTAATGATATTAGGTGGGAAGGAGAAAGGAAGAAATTGCAACCTATTAGTTTGATAATGGCTATCTGGCCATCAGCAGAAGAAGTTGCTGGATATTTATTTTTTACAGAAATTGTGCAATTATGTAAAAATATTTTGGGAGTGTTCTTTGCATTTTTACCATGGTAGATGATATAAATGCCACATACAGAATCCCAGCCTTTTTCTTCCTTGCTTGACCCGAGATTTTTACCTCAGAATTTTCCAGCCAGCATCTGTTGGGGATAAGAGCACTCAGACTATAGTTAGAGATTGTGGCTCCACATATAAGGAGAAAGCGAGAGGAGAACAGAAGTAAAGGAGTTTAAAAGTTCATTTTTTCCTAAGAGCTCCTGGAATTCAGTGCGCCAAGCATGTCTCTTCAGATTGTGTCAAGAATGAGGCACGCAAGTGGAAGATACCATATGAATAGCAAATATATCGGGGGAGTTTGGGGCAGTGACAAAAGCAGTGTAAAATTTCAGATGTAAAGTCTGTTGTGCCTTGCAAAGTGACCTTCATTGAGAAAAGCTGTAGGAATATTGAATTGAGAAAAGGGATTGTGGTTTTGAGAACAGGATCTCCAGGTTCATTAACAACTCCTGCTGTGAACTACTTCACTTGCAGGTGCCTCCTTGTTAGCCTTTGACGGCTTAGGTGTGAGCAGCACCAAGGAACTGATACGTTTGTGGTCTCCGCCGCTGCTTGGGGAGATATGAGGAAAAAATTGTACAGTAGATAATTTCTAAAATAGCATTGCATAAGAATCATGAATAGCTTTTGAGAAAGAAAAATAAAGGAAAGTCTCAGCATTTCTGTAAACATTGGAAGAATGTAATGCAAAACCTTCTTCCCAACACATGGAAGATGTTTCCTGTGCTTTCACTTCTCTTCCAGGGATCTTTAATTTTTTTCAAACTGAATCCTTCAAATATGTAGATGGATTATCCTGATTTTACTGGGATTGGAAGACACCAAAAATTCCAAGATTGTTTGTTTCACCAACACAATTCAAACACAATTCATTTCATGTGATACCTTTGCAGGACACCCAACAACCAGGCCAAGTGTGTGGAGAAACCAAGAGGCTCTTGGCCTGAGTTTTAAGTCCAAGTGATTTAGAATTTAAACATGTGCAAAGTTTCTAAAATTTAAAATAGTAAAAATATATTTAATCAATTTTCCTTGTTTTCTTTCCTTGGTGTCACATTTTAGTACACCATTTTTATCATTTCTCATCTTATTATAGTTAGGAGTTGGAAATATGATCCCAAAGCCTCTGAATCTCTTACAGGGCTATATGTGTAACAATATCAAGCAAAATTAAATAAAGCCAATTTAAGAGTTAGAAGGGATGGTCTACAGGGCCAGGTCAAAATCCATTAGACCCCACTCAGAAGAACATTTCCTCAGAATCAAAATTTGAAGCTCAGATTGAAAGGTGTAAATGGTTGCTGAAGGTCCTGCTTCAGGCACAAAGCCATCTCAGAGACCTTGGCCTGTCCAGTCCTCTCAGGCCTTGGAAAGGGGAAATCTTCTATCAAAAAACTTTGCCAAGGAAACTGCAGGGAAATGGGAGTGCAGGATAACCGTTAGCAGACATGTGGCTTGGGTCGACGAACCTGTAGTGACTACTGGCTGGCCACACCGCTGAACCAGTCCCCTCGGTCACTACTCGCTCACCCTGCCTCGTTTCTGCAAAGGCAGAGCCTCCTCCTTGCAGAGTGATCCAAAGGGGAGGGGGATGCTGCAGAAAAGGGCGCCTTCCCTCTGGGCCTCCCGGACTGGCTCCGCAGGGCTTGGGGCTCTGAAGCAGTCCACTGGCTTCCCACCCGGCTACCTGCCTGCTATCTTTGACTGCTGGTGCCACTGTGGGAACTTGGCCCGCAGAGTCTGGTGTTCCGGGGAAGGAGGCTCAGCCACGGTGCCGCTTCCTGTTGGCGAAGAAGCAGAGCAAGAAGTGCAGAAACTGGCAGCGGCTGGCGGGGTGACAAACCCCCATGCGGGTGGGGGGCCAGGTCCAGCTGTGCCACCACGGAGCCCGCAGCACTTTCACTTCGGGCTGGGTGATGGTGCTTACCTGGGCGGGCCAGTGCGGATAGCTCTTCATCTTGCTGAAGAACAGGTCGCCGTAGTTCCGCAGCCGACCAGAGCGGAACATGGAGTGGGCAGAGAGGCCGAGGCAGCCCCCGCCAAGACCACCCTTGCAAGCAATAGCCATGCCTCCCCAGCAACAGATGCGCCAGGGCCACCTTCACCACCTCTGTGTGTTGCACGTGGAAGGGGCCGCCGCTGTTGCTCTCGCCGCCCGCCCCGCCTGGCTGCAGACGTCCACCTGCCCTCCTGGAGCGCCGCCGCTGCCGTTTGCTTTCGTTTCACAGTGGGAGAAGGAAGAAAGTGAACGGCAGTGCAGCAGTGCTCCACGAGGGCAGGCAGGTGTCTGCAGTCAGGCAGGGAGGGAGAGCGGCAAGAGCGGTGGGTTGTTCCAGGAAGAGCCTGGCGTTTCCCTCAGCGGCAAATGCTGAGATTTGAGGTCTACAAATCATGTTAAATTGATTGGTTGCGTGGAAGGGAAACAAACTGAGCGTGGGACGGAGAGAGCGCGATGATGGCCCTGGCATCATCCTGCCACGGCCCACCTATAAAGTCTTTGGCTCCGTGTGCAGCGCCAATGGAGGCTCGGGGATTTCAGATTAGGAGCTAGCATGCACCCCAACCCTGAAACAGTGGCGATGAGCTAAAAGACGATTGTTTACCCCTCACTCTGGGATTCGAACCCTACCCCTAAGTAAAGGTGACAGGCAACAGGGAGTCCTGTGCAAGTTCTGAGAAAGCCAGCTTTTGGGTTCCCAGGCCCCGTTTAAAGCCCTTTGGCCTCAGCAGTTCTACAGGAAGTTTAGAATGGGACTGGCCACCGAGGAGGAAAGGGCCCAGAGCTGAGCTTCCCAATCTTTCTTTAGGCAGCCTTGAGCACACTTAAAAAACAAGCCCTTCTGCCCGGATGCTTCTGTCCACTTTCCCACATCCCACCTATTGCTCCTTCTCAATCTGCCTGGACTTTTCTCTTCCCCTCTTTGGATCACCCTGCAAGGGGGGGGGGGAATCTGCCTTTGTAGAAACAGGGTGGGCGATTTGTACAGAGGATTGGCGGTGGGGATGTGCGGCCCTCCCGGATGGAGAGCAGGGCAAGAGAAGGCTCTTGAGTTTTGCTTGGCCAGTCAAGCCAGATGGCGGATGGAAACTCAAAGCGTTGGGGGCTTCAGAAGGGCAGAATGTGCTTCAGAATGTTCAGCTCCTGGCTCTGTCAGTGAGTGATGTGAGTGATGTCAAGTTGGCCACGCCCACCCAGCCACATGATCACCAAACCATGCCCACAGAACCAGTAGCGAAAATTTTTGGATTTCACCACTGGACCTCTTGCTATCGAAACAACGATAAAAAGTAAATAATTCATGTTTACTATGAAAAACTATATGATCAAGAGACAATTGATAAAATAAAAGAATACTTAGAAAAAGCAGAGTTAACTAGAATACCAGAAACAGTTAAAGCAACATTAGAAGAAAGAATAACAATGATGGAATTAACGGAAGCAATTAAAAGACAAAAGAATGGCAAAACATCAGGCCCGGATGATGTTACAAAATATTACAAAACTCCATAGACAATTCAATGTTGGAAGTATTCAGTGAATTAATGTTAGAGGTGAAAGTACCAAATTCTTGAATGGAAGTATACATTATGCTCATACTGAAAGAGGTTTCAGACTTGCATCAGACAAAAAAACTATTGACCAATATCTTTATTGAATCCGGACTACAAAATATTTGCTTCAATAATAGCAGAAAGACTAAAGAGATTTTTAAATCAATTTATACATGCAGATCAAAATGGCTTTTTACCTAAGAGACAAAGATAATATGAGAATAATTTTGAATACACTGGAATATTATGAAGCACATCGAGAGAAGCAAATGGTACTGATTTTCTTTGATGCACAGAAGGTGTTTGACAATGTGAACTGGCAATTGATGCTGACACAATTAAAAGTTATGGACTTTGGGGGGTGATTTATCAAGATGATTAAGGCAATACACTATAAACAAAACTCAAAAGTGATGGTAAATGGAGATGGGACCGAAAAGGTTAACATCAGAAAGGCTACAAGACAGGGATGTCCCATTTCCCCATTATTATTGGTATTGACACTAGAAGTATTAAATAGAAGTATTAGACAGGATAAGGAGATAAAAGGTATGGAAATAAAAAAGGAAGAATACAAATTACAGGCATTTGCGGATGATTTGGTTTTTATCTTACAAGATCCACAAGAAACAGGGCCAAAATTAATAGAAAGAATAGAAGATTATGGCGAAGTGGTAGGATTAAAAATAAAGAAAAAACTAAGATTTTAGTGAAAAATATTACAGAGAAACAGAAAAAAGTTAATGAAGAAATTAGACATTCAGATTACTAAGGAAGTAAAATACTTAGGGATTCAATTAACAGCAAGCTGTGTAACGATTAAGGAAGATAATTATAAGTTTATACAACAAATCAAGATAGATTTGGAAAAATTGGAAAGTTTGCAACAGGAACAAAAGAGAGGGTGATAAACTAGTTATTTATTGGGTATCAAATTAGAAGAACAAGTGAAGAATGATAGCATGGGCAAAAAATTTTGGTTATACAATAGAATTAGAAAAATGGCAGCAACCATGGATAGAAATTACAAATTACCAATGTCAACTGCATATAAAGAAAACTTGTATAAAATATTTTATAGATGGCATTTTTCACCAGCAAGATTGGCAAAGACGTTTAAAGACAAATTAGCTAAATGTTGGAAATGTCACCAGACATCTGCGTTGTATTATCATATGTGGTGGAAATGCACAGAAGCCAAAAAATACTGGACAAAAATACAAAACCGAAATATTTTTGTTGGGGATTTTACCAGAAGCTTATAAGTAAAGAGAATGTATACTTGATTATCCATGCATAACTGCAGCTAGAATTATATTTGCACAAAATTGGAAAAATGAAGAGATTCCTATGGATGAGAATGTGATTAGGAAAATATTAGAATGTGCAGAAATGAATAGGTTAACACTTGCAGTTAAAGAGAATGAATAAACTGAATATTATATTGTATGGCAACTATTTTACAGATGGTTAGAGAATAAATATGCAAGTTAGAAATAAAAGTAGATTAGTGAAATATAGAAAATATATTAATAGAATTAAATAAGCTAAGAAGAGAATTGTTATAGTATTAGATATGCTATGTTTATCAGTATTAAGTTAAAAGCATGCAAATCATGAACATGGCTGTAAATTTTAATTGTTATTGCACAAGACATTTGTACCCAGACGACACGCTGTTTAATGGAAGATGGATTGTTTGTATTAAAATAAAATAAAAAATTTTTTTTAAAAAAAGTGGCGGTGCCCCATCATTTGAGGCTTTTCAGAAGAGATGAGAAAGCCACTTATGTGAAATGGTATAGGGTGTCCTGCTTGACCAGAGGCTGGAATAGAAATCCTCCAAGGTCCCTTCCAATTCTGTTATTCTCTTCTGTTCTGTTGCAATGATGTTTATGATACCCTGATATGTAAAACCACTAGAAATCAAAGAGGTTGTACTTTCTTTTTTACTGGACTGTATTTGAAAACAATGCTATGCATAGTTGCATAGTCATAGTGTCCAATGGTCTCTGAGCTGCAGGGCTAAAAGTTGTTGCCGAGGCTGTTGAAGGCAAATGTGTTGTCTTTTTCTTTTTTCTTTCTGTGAGATTCTAAGAAAGAGCAAACCTCATAAAAAATGAAAGAGAGATCCTGAACAAGAAAAGAGCAGATTTATTAGAAATATATATATATATAAAGCTATATATATATATATATATATATATATATATATATATATATATATATATATATATATATAAAGCTATATATATATATATATATATATATATATATATATATATATATATATATATATATATATATATAAAGCTATATATATATATATATATATATATATATATATATATATATATATATATATATATATATATATATATATAAAGCTATATATATATATATATATATATATATATTATTATTATTATTATTATTATTATTATTATTTATTAGATTTCTATACCGCCCTACTCCCGAAGGACTCAGGGCGGTGCACAGCCAAACAATAAAAACACATACAATACAAAATTTAAAAATAGAATAAAATCAAATTAAATAATTTTGGCCCCGACAAATTTAAAACCCCAAACTTTTAAAACCAATTTAAAATTGAATATATAAATACTAAAAAATATTTAAAATTTTAAAAATCTTTTATAAAAGAGGGGGAAAATTAGGCCAGGCCGGCCTGGTGAAATAGTAAGGTCTTTAAGGCGCGGCGGAAGGTGCGCAGATCCGGGATCCTCCGTATCTCTGGGGGGAGCTCGTTCCAGATAGTAGGTGCCCCCACAGAGAAGGCTCTCCCCTGGGGGCCGCCAGTCGGCATTGTTTGGCTGACGGCACCCGGAGGAGCCCCTCTCTATGGGAGCGTACCGGCCGGTGGGAGGCTATTGGTGGTAGTAGGCGGTCCCGCAAGTACCCGGGTCCTAAGCCATGGAGCACTTTAAAGGTGGTAACCAAAACCTTGAAGCGCACCCGGAAGACCACCGGGAGCCAGTGCAGCTCGCGCAGGAGAGGTGTTACATGGGAACGCCATGTCGCTCCCATTACCACCCGCGCGGCCGCACTCTGCGCCAGTTGGAGCCTCCGGGTGCTCCTCAAGGGGAGCCCCATGTAGAGAGCGTTGCAATAGTCCAGGCGGGAGGTGACAAGGGCATGAGTGACCGTGCGTAAAGAGTCCCGATCCAGAAAGGGACGCAACTGGCGAATCAGGCGAACCTGATGAAAAATCCGTGAGTCCAGGAGGACGCCCAAGTTGCGAGCCCTCTCCGTGGGGGCCAATGATTCGCCCCCAATAGTCAGTGATGGCGTCAACTGACTATATCGGGACGTCGGAAACCACAGCCACTCAGTCTTGGATGGGTTGAGCCTGAGCCTGTTCCTCCCCATCCAGATCCGTACGGCCTCCAGGCACCGGGACATCACTTCAAGGGCATCGTTGGGGTGATCCGGGGTGGAGATGTACAGCTGGGTGTCGTCAGCGTACTGATGGTACTCCACCCCGAAACCACGGATGATCTCGCCCAGCGGCTTCACATAAATGTTGAACAGGAGAGGCGAGAGGACCGACCCTTGCGGCACCCCACATATGAGGGGCCTCGGGGTCGACCTCTGTCCCCCTGTCAACACAGACTGCGACCGGTCAGAGAGAAAGGAGGAGAACCACCGCAACACAGTGCCTCCCACCCTTAAAATTACCCTTAAAGAGTTAAAAATTAAATGGTAAACATGTCTATTAATAACCATTTAAAATACTATACTTTTTAAAATTGGTATACCAAACAAAATGGTCTGATATTCTCAAATGATATATATATATATATCAGCCAGGTCAGCCTGACCCAAGTTAGAATGTACCCAGAACTTTCAATTCTCCAAACCAAGCATTTTATTCTTACAAAACAAGTGTTATAGGAACATTACCGTTCCCCTTTTCTGTTCCAAACCTTACCGCCTACTCATGTCCTGATTATGAGGTTACATCAGGATACATGAGATATATATAAAGGTTAAATATGGTGTTACTCAAGCTATGCTTTTTACAGGAATAATTCATTTTCTCACAATTTTTTTATTTCCATGCTTCTGCTGTGGCTGTAGCAACTCTCAATGGCTGCTTTCTCAGCCGTCCGGTAGAGAGGCTTCTTCCAACCAGCCAGGGAATTTGCAACTTCCCTGTGCTTGCCAGTCACTGCCTCTCTCATTACAGGACAGCTTCGGTCAAAAAACACCCCCAGATGGCTGCGATATCAACAATCCTTCGGGAATCCAGGAAGAAAGCTTCATTTCTCTGTGGGCGCTGGCCACAACTCACACACCCCAGCTCCTACTTGTGAAAAATCTTCCTCACTGTAGAATGATGGATTTTAAATTGTTTGGAAATGGCCTTTTAAACTTTCCGAAATTGATCGGCAGCAATAATTGCTTCTCTAAGATCATTGCTGATGTCTTTACACTTTGGCATTGTGTTAACACACACCTCAATGCCAGAGACCAGCAAACTCCTACAACTTTGGCTTTTATCAATGTAATTATCCTGGCTGCTGATCAATTGATCAAGGGCACTTTATTAGCAGTACTTGGCTGCTACTTTGCCTTTTTATACTATGTAAGCAGTGAGAAGTTTCCTAATAGTGAGAACAAGTAACCAACAGAACGGCTTGCTTCAGAAGTTGTGGTGCTCCATCACTGGAGGCTTTTCAGAAGAGATGAAACAGCCACTTGTCTGAAATGGTATAGGGTGTCCTGCTTGAGCAGAGGCTGGATTAGAAGACCTACAAGGTCCATTCCAATTCTGTTATTTTCTTCTGTTCTCTAGCAATGATATTTATGATATCCTGATAAATTAAACCATAGAAATCAAATAGGGTGTACTTTCTTTTTCACTTGACTGTATTTGAAAAAATCCTTTGCATTGCTAAGAATTTGTGATTGACTTAGTCAACAAGTGAATTTCATCATTTTTCATTGTAATATAAATGTTTTTTCTTTTTTTCTCATCTTCTGCAACCATTAAAGATGCACTTTTATTTGAATTTTATAGACAAAGAGGATGGCAATAAGAGCCCTCTGGACAACTGAGGACAACAAGCAACATTGAATAGCAAAGCAATTCAGTCCAGAAATCAAAATATTTTCCATTTCCTTCAGAGAGCCACACAATTCTTCACCTTCCTCAGTAAGTGAGAGAGAAACAAGAAAAAATCAAGAAGAGATTTCTAGCTGGGAAAAGTAGAGTGTAAAATTCAAGCATACGTTAACATGAAAAGTCAAGGGAGATTATTGTTTCATTGAACAAAAGGGGAATGTTTTGAAGTTAGTGGGGAGTTAAAGGTCAATTGGAAAACCAGGTAGAGCAGACAGTTTTGCAGGCCTCCTTCTGGGAGCAAGAAAACGGCTTGAATCAAAGCACTGCTAAACAAGGGATCATCCATATTTTGGACCTCCTCAAGAATATTACTTGTGGAAAAGCTCCATAGACGTGACAGTTGTGGGAAAGATACGACTTGTAAATCACAGCTGATTATGCCTGAGAGGATCCAGACTGGAGAAAAGTCATACAATACTCTAAATGTGGCAAAACCTTTGGTCAGAACAAGTCTATTGTGGTTCTTGGAAGGACCCACACAGGAGAAAAGCCCTACAAGTGCTCCCAATGCGATAAATGCTTTAGCGAGCATGGCAACGTGGACTCACACCAAGGAGAAACCACTTGAATGTCCTGATTGTGGGAAATTTTTCTATCATAATTCCAGCTTGGTGACACACCAGAGGATTCACACAGGAGAGAAACCGTTTGAATGTCCTGATTGTGGAAAATGTTTCAGTCAGCATTCCAACATGGTGACACACCAGAGGATTCATACAGGAGAGAAGCCGTTTGAATGTCCTATTTGTGGGAAAAGTTTCAGTAAGAATTTCAGCCTTATTGGCCATCAGAGGACACACACAGGAGAAAAACCCTTTGAATGTCCTGATTGTGGAAAAGGCTTCAGTCAGCATTCCAACCTGGTGACACACCAGAGGACTCACACAGGAGAGAAACCCTTTGAGTGTTCTGATTGTGGTAAAAGTTTCAATACCAATTCCAACCTGGTGACACACCAAAGGACTCACACAGGAGAGAAACCCTTTGAATGTCCTGATTGTGATAAAAGTTTTAGTAACAATTCCAACCTGGTTCAACACCAGAGGATTCACACAGGAGAGAAACCCTTTAAATGTCCTGACTGTGGAAAAAGTTTCAGTCACAATTCCTATCTCATTGGCCACCAGAGGATTCACACAGGGGAGAAACCATTTGAATGTCCTGTTTGTGGGAAAAGTTTCAGTAAGAATTCCCACCTCGTGAAACACCAGAGGACTCACACAGGAGAGAAACCCTTTGAATGTCCTGACTGTGGGAAAAGTTTCTCTCAGAATTGTACCCTTGTTCAACACCAGAGGATTCACACAGGAGAGAAACCCTTTAAATGTCATGACTGTGGGAAAAGTTTCAGTCAGAATTCCACCCTGGTTCAACACCAGAGGACTCACATAGGAGCAAATCTCTTTGAATGTCCTGTTCTTGGAAAAGTTTCTCTCAGAGATCCCAGCTCATGGTGCACCAGGGGACTCACACAGGAGAGAAGCCCTACAAATGCTCCCAATGTGGTAAATACTTTAGCGAGCATGGCAACGTGGACTCACACCAAGGAGAAATCGCTTGAATGTCCTGATTGTCGGAAATTTTTCTATCATAATTCCAGCTTGGTGGCACACCAGAGGATTCACACAGGAGAGAAACCGTTTGAATGTCCTGATTGTGGAAAATGTTTCAGTCAGCATTCCAACATGGTGACACACCAGAGGACACACACAGGAGAGAAGCCATTTGAATGTCCTATTTGTGGGAAAAGTTTCAGTAAGAATTTCAGCCTTATTGGCCATCAGAGGACACACACAGGAGAAAAACCCTTTGAATGTCCTGATTGTGGAAAAGGCTTCAGTCAGCATTCCAACCTGGTGTCACACCAGAGGACTCACACAGGAGAGAAACCCTTTGAGTGTTCTGATTGTGGTAAAAGTTTCAATACCAATTCCAACCTGGTGACACACCAAAGGACTCACAAAGAGAAACTCTTTGAATGACCTGTTCATGGAAAAGTTTCAGAGATCCCAGCTCATGGTGCACCAGAGGACTCACACAGGAGAGAAATTGAATGAGTGTCCCGTTTCTGGCAAAAGTTTCAGTTGGAATTCCAACCTGGTGATACACCACAGGAGAGAAACCATAGAAGTGTCCAGACCGTGGGAAAAATTTCAGTATTAGGACTAGCCTTTTAAATCATATGCTTATACACACAGGGGAGAAACTATTTGAGTGCCCTGAATGTGGATGGTGCTTCAGGAAACATTCAGCCTTATTGCACACAAGAAAATCCACATGACGCCCCAAGTGATGAGTGTAGAGAAAGCTTGAATTTCATTTCTAATGTCCCATTGAAAGTCCAACTGAGATTTGCCTATTTTTTTGTAGGCAAATATGTAATTGTATTAGATGGGAAGGAGGAAGGAAAAAATGGCAACATACTATTTTGATAATAGCCATCTGGCCATCAGCAGCAGAAGTTGCTGGATATGGGTAGTCCTCAGGTTACAAATGTAATGGATCCTGCCAATTCCATCCGTAACTCGAGAATTCGTGGGAGTGAATCTCTTACATTGAACGACATCACTTCCTGCTTTCGCTCTTCCATTTGCTGCTTTTTTGCCTCAGATCATCCTGATGACACTCCAGTACCAAGAAAGCAACCCCTGGAGGCTGCACATGGCCTCTTGAGGCTACTTTCTTGTCCACAAAGTGCTTGAGGATTGCATTCCTGTAGGCTTTGGTAACCCTTGGCAAAAAGCCTTTGCCTGTAGGGACACGGCTTTGGAGGAGTGTGTCTGCTCATCCAAAGCTCTGCTGGTGCCAACAAATTTTTTTTGCAAAGGACTGTTGAAGCATACGCAATCTCCCTGCAGGCTTCAGCTAGGAAATGGCAAATGGAGGGAAGGGCTGAATGACCGAAACTTTCCCTCAGTTTGCAAATGCCCAGGTCTCAATTCACAGAGAATAGAGGCCTTAAGTGTGAGATTACACAAGATCTTGCAATATGTTAGGCCTCTGTTCTTTGCAAATGTGTGCAAAGAAACTGCAACAGAGAGGAGGTCTTTTCAAGATAAGTGAGTCTCCACAGGCGAAGTGCCTATGAAGACCGGGCGGTGGGGGGACAGAATATGTGGGGTGAATGTTGCAGAGCCTCTGCAGTCATTTGTAAGGGTGAACAACTGCTGTGGTGCTGGAATATTCATAATCTCGGGGTTTGTTGGTAAATGCTGCGGGCGCTTATCGCGTAACTTCGAACATTCGCTAAGGGACCCGTGGAAGTGGAAGTGGAAGAAACCATATGAATAGCAGATATATTGGGGGAGTTTGGGGCAGTGACGAAACCAGTGTAAATTTTCAGATGTAAAGGCTGTTCTGCCCTGCAGGTGACCTTCGTGGAGAAGAGCTGTAGGAATATTGAGTTGAGGAGAAAAGGGATTATGGTTTTGAACACAGGACTTCCAGGTTTATTCGCAACTCCTGTTGTAATCTCCTTTGTTTTTAGGAGCCTCCTTATTAGCCTTTGATAGCTGGTGGGTGAGAGCAGCACCAAGATACTAATACTTTTGTTGGGGGGGGGGGCTTGGTGGGTAGATGTGGTGGGGGGGAAATGTACAGTAATGTTTCACTGCTAAAAGAGCATTGCATAAGCATCTTTAGCAGCTTTTGAGAAAGACAAATAAAGGAAAGTGTCAGCATTTCTGTAAACACATTGAAGACATTTCCTGTTCTTTCAGTGCTTCTCTCTCAGGGCTTCTTAATGTTTTTATCCTTGAAATATAGGGAGGAACATTATTTGTGGCAGCAAAAGTGACATTTTAGCTATGCAGATGAATGGTCCTGATTTTTCTGGGATTGGAAGACACCAAAGAATTCCAAGATTTATTTCCCCAACACCATTCCCAAAGACAGGTTACATTTTTTTTAGTAGATCTCATTACATGAGGGACACCCAACAGCCAGGACCAGGCCAGGTGTGTGTGGAGAATCCAAGAGGGTCTTGGCCTGAGTCTTAAGTCCAACTGATTTCAAATTTAATCATATGCAAAATTTCTAAAATTTAAAACAGTAAAACTATATTTAATCAATTTTCCTTTTTTCTTTCCTTGGTGTCACATTTTAGTGTACCATCTTTATTATGTCTCATCATAGTTAGGAGTCGGAAACCCTTTCAATAATCCCAAAGCCTCTGAATCTCACAGGGCTATATAACAATATCAAGCAACATTAAATAAAGCCAACCTAAGAGTCGGAGGGCATGGTTTACAGGGCGAGGTCAAAAGCCATAAGTCACCACTCAGACGAACAGTCCATTTCCTCAGAATCAAGATTTGAAGCTGAGATTGAAAGGTGGAAAGTTGGTGTTGTTTGGAGGATACTGGATCTTGAAAGCTGCAGCCTTGAATTTGAGGCTCGAGTAGCAGGAACAGCTGAATGTATAGATTTTGTGGGGACAAAGAAAGCCCACTTTGGTGATCACGAGGCTAGAGCCTGAGAGACGCTCATTTATTTATTCATTGGTTTAATTTATATGCCGCCCTTCTCCGGAGACTCAGGGTGGCTTACAATGCGTTAAGCAATAGCCTTCATACTTTTGTATACACCTGCTTAGTAGGGTTTTCGGGGCCCCCTAAGCGGTGTTCTTTTTATACAAAGTCAGCTTATTGCCCCCACAGTCCGGGTCCTCATTTTACCTACCTCAGAAGGATGGAAGGCTGAGTCAATCTTGAGCCTGGTGAGATTTGAACTCGCAGTAATTGCAGCTGGCAGCTAAGTACTACTTAACAGCACTTTAGTCTGCTGCACCACCAAGTGTCTATTTCTGGTCCTGCTTTAGGCACAAAGCCATCTCAGAGACCTTGGCCTATCCAGTCCTCTCAGGCCTTGGAAAGGGGAAATCTGCTTTCAAAAAACCTTGCCAAGGAAACGGCAGGGAAATGGGAGTGCAGGATAAGTCCCCAAAACCTACTTTTGCAACTGAGCGAACCTTGAAGAGTGAAGCTTGACTTACTTAGCTTCTCAAGATTAGGGAATACCGTAAACACCACCTCCCTAATGAAGGTCTTGTTTGTGTGCACAGCCGCCAAATGATTTCCAGCTTCATCCTATCAATAGAATAATGAAACATGGACCAATAGCTGGAAACATCCACTCTCCTTGCTTCCAAATCACGTCTAGATAGGAGATATTTTATCTATCTGCATCCTTGCAGAACCTAAATCTCACTAAAGGAAAGAGTTGCTCTAAGCAGCCTTTCCAATCTGCGCAGGAGTTAGACTTCAGTCTTATTACTCCCAAATTTTGGGCAAAAGACTTGGAGGGCAGCAGTTTGCAGAAAGCTGATGTATAGATTTTGCACTTTCTTAGGGGTGACTCAGTGGAGATCAAAACCTCTCTGCATCCCAAACGTTATGGCTGATTTCTTGTGGTTCCCAAGGATTTAGGACCCAGGAGGATCAGTGGGTCAGAGGCTCAAAGGGAGGGAACTTCATTCGTACTGCCCAGAGATGCTTCCAAGCACACTGATGCTAAATGCCTTGTGTGTCTATAACTTTGCATACACAGAAGTCTCCATTAGGTCAAAGTGAGAAAGTCACATACCCAGCAGGGCTAGAAAAGGGGGCTTAACAAGAGTAGATGACTTGTCTATTTGTGGTAAGAGAAATGTTTCCAAAAGGCATTTCAAACAGTCGGAAAAAATGTTGATAATACAGATGTGCATACAAAAATGTATCAAGGTCACACCACTCTTTCATACACATTCCTTTTTTTAATTCATTTTTTTTAAAAAAAAAAGTTTGTTTTTTTTGAAACAAACAAAAAAATACATCTTTTCAGAACGAGCCATTGATCTGGTCAAAATTACAATTACTAACTTCTCTTTAACAAAAGCTTTATCCAAATCTCCACTAATTACCATCTTATAACAATAAAAATAAACAAAGAGAAATGCCTAACTTATAATGATTTACTCAAAACAATTACCTTTCTATTGTTTCACCTCAATCTTTTTTTTTTTTTGTAAATCTTTTTTCCCAACATAAACATAAAAAAGAAATTTTTTTCAAGAACGAAGTCTTGGTCCGGCCACAAATGGGTACACTAATTTAACAAATGAGAACACACAATTTTAACATAAATTCCAACGTCTTAATAAATCTTTCTATTATCTCATCATACATCCTAATCTCCTACTAAGGCAGAGCTCATTTTTATATGCAATTATAAATTCAATTATAAATCAACATTCAATACTGCTTTATCTAAATTTTTGTATCCCTTGCTCCTTTTAGCCAGAACATTAAACACAAAGACAACCTATTCTATTAATCTATATATTTACCTTACAATTTTATCACCACAAATCTTAAATTCCAAATGTATACAACTCAATTTTTATTTCAATTTATTAATCAAAATTTCTATTTTTCTTGTTTTCTAAACCCAATTCTTCCTATCATGTTCTTAAACTTTTAACACAGAGATCTCAAAATTTACCCTTTCATTTTAATTATCACCCAACATTATTCTTCAGTATATTCTCCTCATTCTCCTCCATTACTCCACCTATTATTTGGCTGATTTCCAGCATAGCATATTTTGGCTGAGTTTTCAGCATATTCTCCTCCATAACTCCCCCTTTTATTTGGCTGATTACCAGCATTTTCCATTGTTTTGGCTGATTTCCAGCATGCTTTGTTTTGGCTGATTAACAGCATTCTCCTTAACTCTGCCTATTATTTGGCTAATTTCCAGCATTTCCAGCAGGTATATACAAAAGTATGAAGGCTATTGCTTAACGCATTGTAAGCCGCCCTGAGTCTCCGGAAAAGGGCGGCATATAAATGGAACCAATAAACAATAATAAACAATAATTTCATTATTTGGCTGATTTCTCAGCATATTCTCCATTAACTCCAATTTCTATACTGCTAACTTATTAAAAATTTCTTTTTCCATATATTGTCTATTAATCCACTGTTTCCAACTATACTCTT